GAAATAATTTTAGTATTTTAATATAAAAAAATTACATTTTTATATTATATTTGAAATATTAGAAATAACTACCTTTGCGGTATAATTCTGACTTCTGGACCTTCTAAAAAATCCAAAACTAAAAATGCCCGATTTTAAAGAATTTATTAAGGAGGATTTTCCTGATGCACAATGTCCTAAAAGTCTTATATGTAGACGATCTATTGGTCTATGTGTTGGTTGCAACTGTTTAATATAATTTTCACGTTGAATAGGCTAAAATTTAAATTAGTGTTAGTGAACAGTAATGCGGAATATAATAAAAACAGGTAGTTTGTAGACATACATTTCGAAGCTTATCCAATAGTGATGCAATATCAAGATGTCCGTATTTGATTGCTGTTACATCCGCTCTAATCCCACGATTTGATTTATCAACGTCACAACCAGCAAGGCACAAATGTCTAACAAGATTAATGAAACCATGCCTAGCAGCCACATGTAGCGGTGTTAAACCTTTCATATTGGGTGTATCCAGGTCTATTCCATTTTCTATTAAAAAAGTTACCATTCCCTCATCTCCCGCTTCACAAGCTATGTGCAAAAGCGTATCTTCTTTCTATATGAATAAACATAATTATTAATATCTGATTTGCATTATATGTAATACGAAATATGTATTAAAAAGGATCTCACAGAATCTTTCACATTCAATGGTGCTCCTTGCAGTAATAATTGAGACACAGCCTCAAGACAGCCTCGTTTAACGGCACTAATCATAGCTCCACCAAGACCTTGAGAGGCTTCTGACTCCTACAGAATAACAAAAAAAAATACATCTATTCAGTATTATATTATTTTATATACATATTCTGTTTCATCAGCAATTGTACTACAGTATTTAATCATAAAATCATATATTTTTATATACACATGCGGATAAAAATTTGTTCTTAAAAATAAATTATCAATGACAAATAAAAAAATTTGTTATATTTAACTTAATAATATATATTCTGTGAGAAATAGTGTGTATATATGATGTATAATGTGTATGTAACTGTACAAATGATACTAACATTAGTCACGCGATGTACATAAATAAATGTTATTTCGTAAGAAATAAAAAAAATAACGTGAGCGATTGAAAACAAAAGTTATAATCAGCTCTGGCAATTACAAAGGAAATTATAATATTGCATTCAGGAACAGACCGTGAGGATCCAAGGATGTTTAAGGCACGATTCTGCAGTTCCTCTTTCTCTGAAAGTCAAATTTTTTGGTGTTATATCAATACATTTCAAATCATTCTTCTTAATCTCAAAACTAAAAGTTTTAATATAGATTCTAAATTGTTTATACTTACTTTGGATCCTTGATCAACAAGGATCTTATGAAATCTTTGGCAATTTCAGAAACTGTACTGAAATACTCATTGTCAAACTGATATTGACATGCAGCAACATTTGCATAAGTTTCTTGTTTATCTTCACCTAGAAATGGTGATGCACCACTTAAAAGAATGTATGTTAGAACACCAACTGCCCAAAGATCAGTTCCCAGACTGAGTGGTTCATAATTTACAATTTCAGGAGCAACAAACTCAGGTGTACCAAATAATGCTCTGTGTTCAGATCCAGGTACTAATCGATGTGACAGACCTAGATCTGTATAAAATAACGAATTAAACATATTTTTTTTAACATTTTAATTACTCCACTTATGTGTAAACTTCAATAACAGATGTTCATATGTTACCTATTAATTTTATACTTGGCATTGGTGGAGGAGTTGATAGAAGAATATTTTCAGGTTTGATATCTAAATGAGCAACTTGATGAGAATGTAAATGACTGAGAGCCATTAAAACTTGACGAACCTATAAATAAACATCATTTGTAACAAATCTGTCATTTAAATATTAAATTAAAAATCTGTTGTAACAATTACAAACCACATGTGCAGCTTCTAATTCACCAGATGGTACCCAATGAAAAAGCTCTCCCCCAGAAATTAATTCTAAAAGTAAAACAACTGTCGTGCCTGTGTCAACAACTTTGTGCAATGAAACAATATTTGGATGTCTTAGTCGTGCTAATAAGCCTGCTTCTCGAGCTAAAATACAGAATTAATAACTGTCTATCCCAAAAAAGAATATTAGCTGATATGTCCAAAATATTACCAATGTCTGCTGCTGCCACACCTCTGGCAACTCGTCTTTTTCTCATAATTTTGGCAGCATATAATTCTCCAGTTTTTACTTCCATACATTTTCTTACTATCGCAAATTGTCCCCTATAATTTTTAAACATATACATAGTGAAAGAAATATATATATATATTTTTCAATAATATAGTCTACAGAATTATGGGATAACTTACTTTCCAATCTCTTCCAATAATTTATAGTTTCTTTCAATTGGTTCATGATGAACCTCCATTAAAGTGTCCCACTCAGGGCCTAATTAATAAATTAAGATTATCACATGTGTAAAAATATTATTTTGTTTGTATCATTTAACTATCATAAAAAATTTTATTTATTTCCCTAGTAGAATAAAAAACAGTCGATATTCAAGTCAAATTATTAACTAATAGAAAATAAATTTTCACAAACGTAATACACAAACTATTCATACGTATATATAGCACAAATACGAATGATTACAAAATAATAAATATTTCATTTCTACATAAAAAACTTCTCTCAGAAAGCACTATTTACAAATACTCATTAATACAAATAGAAAAAGCACAAAAAAATATTTTCACCCAACTTTTAAAATCAATGCATGATACTACACAATAATAACTATGTATTAACAATTGCCGTTCAAAACTAACAGAACATAGACACCTGTCAATCCTGTAGTAAACAGATTTGAAAATCACTTCCGTATACACGTAGCCACGTGGATGTATTCTCGTTAAGATCAGAATAATCGTGTATTAAAAACGTTGCTGATACACTTTGCATCCCTCGATCGTATCAAATCGCGGAGAAATATTAAACATCTGCCAGCCTTGACAGAAACATCGACACGATATTGTGCAGAAAGATTACAAAACAATTGAAAGGAAGTCGGTTTTTACCACCGTTCGAAGTTCCCAATTGGCGAGACGTGCCTGGCATCATCTCACGTTCATGCTCATCGTTCAATCTATCCGAACAATTTTAAGTTTCGCAAAGAGCCGTTACAAAAATTGTGTCCCATTCGTCGGCCTTCACTCATGCCGGCCACCCTACACACACAATCGATATACCTGTGTCGCGTGAAACGCCACCTTTCTCAAAATGCATTGCAATCTCATAGAACCTTCTCTAATTTTTTAAATTGCTTCAATCATTTGTTTCACACATTTTTAATCATCGCTAATTACTTGTCATTTAAAAATTGCAAACCAGCTTTCCCTTATTGCAGAACGATATTACTGTTTTAAAGATTATTATGACAAAATAATAAATAAAATGAAAAATTACCGATGCTTTTCGTTTTTTCAAAATATCTCATTAGAACTCCACGATTTATGAAAAATTAAATTCGCATTCATTAATAGCGGAGTAAGTAATAATGGTTATCAAACAGTATCGAAAATTTTTCCAGGAATTTTCTACGGAAGTTCTATATAATATTCAACATGGTACAAAAAACCAAGTTGTTTACAATGCAATTGTCAACTTATGATAAAATAAAAAATTTATACTCATATTTTGCATAAAATGCTGTCTATTTGACAAAACATAAGTTACAGAACAGAATTATCCATATTAATGAGGTATAATATAATGCAAATAATAAGTACATAAAAGTTCAGAAGATATTTAAACAGTATTGTATCATTACGGTATATTAAACAGGTAGTGAAAAAGTGTATAAAATACGAGTACATGTTGAATGGTGATTCTTATTCTACAATTCTACAAAAGGAAGTTATTAAAGCAATAGTCAGTAAATTGATTACCAGTTACAGAAATTGCATATTGTTAGCTTGTTATAAATAGGGAAGCAAACAGCTGAAAATAGTTCAGAGATAAATACAGCATCAATCTTTAATACTTTATCAAAGTATTTTTATTATTATGAAAATGCATACAGACAGGCAAATAATGCTCTTCATGAACATGAATTGGGTTTTAATAAAATTATCGTGGACATGAAACATTACATGTTAACGCAAGTAAAAGCTTATTGAGTGCAATATAAATTTAACGTTTCTAATCTTTCATAGCTTCTTCTGAAATTTGTGCGGGTGGAGTAGGCTCGTTGTCTGACTTTTTCTTCTTGCTTCCTGATACAATGTCATCAATTCTTAGCAGCAAAATAGAAGTTTCAATAGCTGTTTTGTAAGTCTGTAACTTCACAGCTAGAGGCTCCCAAATACCGCGTTCTTTCATATCTACCAATTGACCAGTTTCTCCATCAATACCCCATGTCATTCCTCCAGTAGCATGTTTTGCACGTAATGCTGTTAATGTTCTGATGACATTTGCTCCACAATTTTGTGCAAGAGTTCTTGGAATTATCTCTAATGCTTGAGCTACAGCTTTGTAAGGCCATTGTTCTACACCTGCAAGTCTTCCTGCTTTCTCAGTCAATAATCTTGATACTGCCATTTCAACTGCTCCTCCACCTGTAATAATACAAATACAACACAGTAAAATATATTATACATACAAATCATTAGTAATAAATTATTAATTACCTGCTACCAATTTAGGTTCAATAAGAAGATTTCTTGCAACATGAAGGGCATCCTGTAAGTTCCTTTCAGTTTCATTTAACACATCTTTACTGGCACCTCTCAAAATTATAGTACATGCTTTAGGATCTTTACATTCTGTAATAAAGCAAAAGTATTCATCTCCAAGTTTCTTGATTTCAAAGAGACCAGCTTTGGTACCAATATCTTCTTCCCGTAATTCTTCTGTACGGTTAACAACAGTTGCACCACAAGCTCTTGCAATTCTGTTAATGTCACTCTTTCTTAATCTACGAATAGCAGAAATTCCAGCTTTGACAAGATAATGTTGTGCTAAATCTGATACTCCTTTTTCAGTGATTACTAGATCAGGTTTCACAGCTATAATATCTTCACAAGTTTTCTTAACAGACTCCTCTTCCAGTTCTAAAATCCTGGTGAAATCTGTATCTTTCATTATTTCTATGTTAGTCTGAGATTCTCCCTTTTTATATTCCAAGGAACAATCTAATAGAACTATTCTTGGATCCTTAATATGCCTTCTCATTTTTGGATGAGTAACATCTTTGTTAAACATTACACCCTTAAGAACAGTGCTGTCTTCAATAGTACCACCAGGAATTTTCTCTACTTTTGCATATCGCTTTATATCTATTTCCCTTCTACCATTCTCTTCAAACATAACAGTATAAACTGCATCTAAAGCAATCTTACATGCTAACTCAGACCACCGTCCAATAAATTTAGTTCCAACACAGGAATTTATTACTTGAATCAACTTGCTTCTATCATTGCAATCTAGATCAATGCTGACTTCATCATTGAGAATGGTCACTATATCTTCTAAAGCTTGACGGAATGCTCTTATTATGATAGTAGGATGCATATTTTGTTCAAGGAATGGTTCAGCAACCGATAAAATTTCTCCTGCCAATACAATAACTGATGTAGTACCATCACCAACTTCTTCATCTTGAGTTCTAGCTATTTCTATCATTGATTTTCCAGCAGGATGTTGTACTGTTATTTCACGTAATATAGCATTTCCATCATTGGTCATAACTATGCCTCCCATTGGGTCCATTAACATTTTTAACATTGCTTGTGGTCCCAGACATGTTCTAATGACATCTGCAATAGCCTTTATAGAAAAATATAATTAAATGTAAAAATAATATAGAATTAAGGAATGTGTAATTCGTTAAAAAATTTGAATAGTATCAGACATAAGAAATATCAATTATAAATAGAATTAAGAAGTTATTCTTAAAAAAATGCACGTGGGCGTGCGAACGTTTGTCGAAAGCCTTAAAAGGTAAATACGTAGGGTACGTATGATGCAAACTCACCTTTCCAGCTTGGATATTTTCTCTTTGAACTTTCCGGCCGGTGTTCCGTTTCGTATTCTGACCTGCAATAATCAAAGCACACGACATCGTGGAAATCAGATCTTTTTAATTGAGTTTCTAAACAAATGAAAATCGGGATCGTCATTGTTTTAACTTACTTAAAACTACAATCGGAGCAGCCCCTGGTCCGAACATTTTTGTTTGACTTTTATAATGATAAAATACTCTGACAGAAAACGACACTTAAGTGCACGCTTGACTTTTCCAGAAGAAAACGAAAGACGAGACTCCTTAATAATTGGTTAGCAATAGGAATAACGATTGGCGAATAGTCTTAACGTGAAATACACTGTAGCAAAGTGTTTATTGCCAACAATACTAAGAAATATCCCTAGAGTATATCTTTGCTCTTATTGTTTTAAAAATTCTGGAATGTACGGCAATTTAAATATACGAATGAATAATTCCTTGCTGATTATTGGTGTAATGTTACGTATATTTCAGTAAATATAAACATGTAGACAAATAATTAGAAAAATATTTTTTATTATTCCCAAAAAAAAGGGATTATAATTTCATCTTTTGTGTACAATATATCATTCATATATAATGACATAATTATTTAATTTACAAATGTTTATTTAATTGTATTTTGTATATATTACACGCATGAAGTTATTCGACAATTCCTTTAGGATGATAAAAAAGATGTAGTTAATGTAGAATTCAGGTTAACCAATGTTGTCATCACAGACGACGTATTTAGTCGTGCTTATTACGAGGAATAACTTGTCGACGTATTTAAATATTTAGCTTTACAGAAATGAGTAAAACAAGGAAAGGAATACGGAAAAACGAGGATAGTACTAGAGAAATGAGTTAGACAAGGCAAGGAATACAGGTAGACAAGGATAGCACTAGAGAAACGAGTAAGACAAGGAAAGCAATATGGATGGACAAGGACAGAAAAGTTGAAAAGTGAAACTATCGCCATCTCGTGTTTGGTGGCGCGAACTACGACTTTTTAATAGGAACACAGAATATCAACAGAAGTATTAGACAAGGAACGTACTACTGTGCGAAAAGGACAAAGAGAGAACGCTTCCTATTGGTCGCCGGCCGCCATGCTACGCCTTCCAGGTCCTAAATCTTGTCAGTCGGTGAAAAATCATTAATAACTCAATAATTACCATGATTTTGTGAACTTTTAGAATTGAAGAATGAAGTGTGAACCTTTAGCTACTTTCTCATATAGATTTTAATGCTCTAGACCCTTTCAATAATTAGTAATTAACAAGTTTAGTATGTGATGTCGGGAACGATACCGCATACCGTCAAGTACCTTGATGGTTTTTCAATAATTTTACAGCTTTTTACTAAATTTTCATGCAACTAACTATATGCGTCTGAAAGGCAACTCCTTTGGCTATATTCTCATATAATATTTATTCACATGTCCCTTGTGGTTTGATAGTTATTTAAAATTCTTTAGGTGAGTATTACACCAGTCGCATTCAAGCGTAACACATTTTCGTTAATTCAATGGAAACGCATGGTTAATTATGCACTTTGAAGTATGTAGAATGTAGAATAGACTTTTATCTATATTCTTTAATAATTTTTGTAGCCATAAGTGATGTGGTTTATCAGATATTAACAATGCTTTATAACAGTTGACTATACTCGAATACGATGAATTGGGGACTCTCTCATATAATGTTTAATAACTCTTAAACTAAACGGAATATGTTAATAAAAATTATATGAGAATATAGTCAAAGGAGTTGCATTTCAGACGCATATAGTTAGTTGCATGAGAATTTAGTAGAAAGCTATGAAATTATTGAGAAACCGAAAAAGTATGCGGTTCGTTCCCGACATCACGTACTAAAATTGTTAATAACTAATTATTGAAAGGGTCTAGAGCATTAAAATCTATATGAGAAAGTAGCTAAAGGTCCACACTTCATTCTTCAATTCTAAAAGTTCACAAAATCATGGTAATTATTGAGTTATTAATGATTTTTCACCGACCGACAAGATTTAGGACCTGGAAGGCGTAGCATGGCGGCCGGCGACCAATAGGAAGCGTTCTCTCTCTGTCCTTCTCGCACTGTAGTGCGTTCCTTGTCTAATACCTCTGTTGATATTCTGTGTTCCTATTAAAAAAGTGTAGTTCGCGTCACCAAACACGAGATGGCGTTAGTTTCACTTTTCAAATTTTTTGTCCTTGTCTACCCCTGTTACTTTCCTTGTCTTACCTATTTCTCTAGTGCTATCTTTAATTACCGCTACTCGTTTCCTTGTTTTTCGATTTTTACGAATTTCTAGCGGTTTCAGGACTTGGTTTATTTAATTTTGCAATGAAATATAGTTTAAACAACGAGTTCTTTGTAAAATGAAATGGACGTGGTGTGTAAGGGAGAAATAAATAGACAGTAAAATGCTGTAAAACAATACTAATATATTGTAATCTTTTGTAAAATACAGTTTGTACGCTTATCTTACGATAAATAATTTATTTTTTGATAAATAATTGTATTTCTTCATTGCTGGCTGATGCTGAAGTCCATTCCTTGATTTCAATGGTGTTATAGAAGGTCCGTCTGTAATTCATGCAAAAAGAACATTAATTTTTCTAAGTTTTTGTAATGTAAATTGTTATTTGATAAAAAATACTAATTATTCATAGTTCTATCCACGCAATCCAATATATGTAATTATTTTTACATACAAATTTAATAAAAGAGGATTTTTTACATATGTCGTCTTTACCATCTTTGACGGTTAGGTTGAGTATAATTTCTAAATTCACGGCTCTAAATCATAGAGGGCGTGATGAAACCTCTGATGCTTTGCACGATCGGTATTTCAGTTCGTGAAGTCCTATAAGGTGATAAATCTATCCTGCACCACGTCTACACACTAACGTAATTAAAATATATAAAACCTCGGACACTGGAAACTAGATATGCACGAATGCATATGAATCTGTTCTTACTATTCGAGGAAATAAATGAACTATCATTTAAAAATTAACACTTTCGACAAACTTACGAAAAGAACAAGTGAAATAGACGAAGAATTAAAAGTTAATATACCTAACTTTGAATAAGGATCTAAAACACATTATGATCAAAATTCTCATGCATCGTTAAACATTCTTTAGACTCTCATTTAAGGTTATGCTTCAGTTAATTCTTCCACCGATCTATGTATTTTATCTCTATAAAATCTAACAATTACGTTTCTGTAAATCACTCTTAACCACAACTATTATCATATATCGGTATGTATCTTTTACACTCCATCGATCTTTTCACTAACTGCAAGAAGTTCTGCAAGAAAAAGAGAGCCTGCAGAATATGCAACATGTTACGCCATAATACGAGCGTTTTACGTACAAGTTAATACCCTAACTGACACGCGCTTCACAAAGCTATAATCTAGCGGTACAATCGTCGTCGCAATGTCTAACATTCGTCTTCACAAACCATGCGAGGTAACGTGTGCAAGGTGAAACCGATTAAAAGGTAACATTAATCGGGTTACCTCGTGCAACGAGTGCCTAATCGATCGTAGACTTTCAATTTATTACGAAAGTCCACGGAGTACTGGCGTCCCTGCATACTTGCGCGTCATTGAACGTCGCGGCGCGCTAACCACGCTCAACTCACCGATGTTAGGAGACTGCATTTATGATAACGCTCGATTTCAAGGCCGTGAATACACTCTCTTACCGATGCACGCGCAACCGGTTCCCTCGGATTCTGCCGATCGTCTGGCGGAAGGTGCGTCGCTTTCGCGCGACTAGTTCAAGGAAAAGTTAAATATTAGAATTGTTTCGTGTTCTATTGAAACGTCATTGACAAAAAAATTAACTACGTAAAAACATTATTGCTCTTTTTATTCGATCTATTTAAATCGTTGATCGTAAAAATTCTACTTAACCTACAATTCTCATGCAATAAATTGTCGCCGACATAACCTCAAATATAACAGAACATGTTATTCCTACCATAAATTCAATAATTATTGGCACAAAATGAACTTTATCTGTAGAATATCGTTGGAATAATGCTGAACGACTTACTATATAATTAATTATCATTACATAACCTCTTTATGCGCAATTTTCATTTTCATTCGTTCAAGCAGCAAAAATGATACCGAAACTAAACCAGCACCTGTGTGTATCAAACTGCATCCAGACGAATTACAACACTTGCTCTGTTGCAATATATGCACACTTTCTTGAACATTCCCTGCCAAATTGCTATAACATTTCGCGTTGCATATTAACGTTAAACCGGCCCGGTCGTATTTCACGCCGGTTGCGCGGCAAAGGGCCGAATTCACTTTCACAAAACGGCTGTGGCTTGAAGTGAAGGACTTTTTTCGAAATGAAATCGCGTCCCACGCGTGGACGCAACGAGAGCAATGCCGAGTTTGCTAATAGATAAGATCGTGTACTATATGTCGATGGTGGAATTCTTTTTTCCTCTTTTTTTTTTTCGTCAGAACTGAACGAACGCCTTTGTCTACAAAAGGTTGACTCGTATATATGAGTCGGTGAGTACCTGCAAAGTGTGTTCGGTGCTGACAACAGTGAAACACACTGCTCGTGACTAATGTGACCTTCACCCTTGCCTCGTTTCGCTGACTGGCCATTTCTCTTGCAGTGGTCAGTTAACTCCTTCAACTAGCGCCGCAGCCAATCCGGTTGCCAGCATCTAGGCGATATAACCACCGGAAGAAGAGGTGAAATATTTCTTTACTGGATCTTCAGCATCGTGAACATTTCTTGCTGAATATTTTTTTCTTTTTTGTTTCTTTTTCACGAAGGTATTAAGCGCGAAGTTAATCTAGCGACTGGTAATCATGGAACCGTAGAAAAAGAGGAGCAACGTGAAATATTTTTACGTTGCTAAATCGTTAACGTCGTGGAGGATTCTTGAGGAAAAATATTTTTCCTCGTAGCTGCTGAGCATGTTGCTAATCTGGTAACGCAGCTTTTCAACTATCATCATCACGGAGGAACGAGGGTAACGTGAAATATGTCATTTCTTGGAAGATTCTTCGTCTAATTTTTAACATACTTACTGCTTTTTCAATTCAATAATTACAAAACAGGTTTCTACGTTATCCCGGTTTAAATAATAAGATTCTGGATAAAATAAATTATTCTTATCGTTCCAGTGTTTTATTTAATCGATCATTTTTTGACGTGATTTAAAAAAAAATTAATTTTTTTCATTTTAGATATGTCGAATTTCTCTGAAATTTTTTTTTTGGGGCTTATTGACGTAAACCCTCAATCTTAAAAATTTCTAA